TGTCTATAGTTGAACAATTCTTCTTTTCCACGTAGTCTTCCTCGTCCAACATAGTCATGCAGATGATATCTTTGACCTCGATAAGGGACAAGAAATCCAGACATATTTGGATAGCCAGAATCAACAAAGTAAAATTGATATACAAATAATAATAATAATAAGACTCACATAGTAGAACACTGTAGATACATTCACAATAATTATTTGAAGTACAAGAATATACTTTCCTGTGGCATTGGAAAGTTGTTCGATGTTCTTGTGACTGCGTCAGCGAATACTCGTGAATCATTAGCAGTGCCTTCCCAGCCAGAATACACAAACGTGGATTTCATATCGAAATCACATGTCAATATCTCATTTTATGTTATATTAGTTTTCCTTACACGAAAAGATGTTTGTCTCAATGCAGGTGCTCAAGCTGCAACATGTGTATCATCTATTGGCCTATTCAATCCTTAAACAAAGGATATTTGCGCAAAATCCGCTCATGCACAACATCTTGATTTGTGGGACGGATTATTTTTATCCCAAATGAACAAACAACCCTTATCACTCGTTTAAACCATTTGTGTATCATGTTGTTGAAATGCTAAAACCTATCACTAATAATACTATATCGTGTAGTGTGCCCTATAATCATCAGAAACATAGCAACACCCTCCTCTACACTCACTTTTTTTCCATCTTCCCACGACCCTTTCTCTTTCAACATATCACAAATTCATGAAAACGTGTTTCTGCATACGAAAGTTACAGTAGCTTACTGTGGTTTCTCAGAAGTTATCCCAACACTTACTGGATGGAGACTAATTCATTTAAGTAACTGTCAGTGGTTTTTCTCCATGGAAACAAGACTTTCTTTCAACACATGCCCGAGAATTCTAGATATTGATAGAAACCCCTCAACTAAAAAATGTAAAAATTTTAAGTAATACAACAGATTCATGTACATGAAGGAATATCAGCTTCTATGACTATATATCAGAATTAAGCCATTTGTTGATAGTAGTCCAATTTTTAGATCTGCAAACATCTTTTAGTATGCTATCGTAACTTTCGTATGCAGGAACAAGTTTTCATGAATTTTTGTGATATGTTAAAAGAGAAAGGGTTGTTGGAAGATGGAAAATAAAGTAAGTGTCAAGGAGGGTGTTGCTATGTTTCTAATGATTATAGGACACATTACACGATATAGTATTATTGGTGATAAGTTTCAGCATTCCAACTACACGATACACAAATGATTTAAACGAGCAATAAGGGTTGTTTGTTTATTTGGGACAGAGATAATCCGTCCCACAAATCAAGATGTTGTGCATGAACAGATTTTACGCAAATATCCTTTCTTTAAGGATTGTATAGGCGCAATAGATGGGACACATGTCGCAGCTTGGGCACCTGCATCGAGATAAACATCTTTTCGTGGAAGGAAAACAAATGTAACACAAAATGTGATGTTAACATGTGATTTC